GTAAGGTAGAGTAAATACTGTAAAGTGTAAGGAAGAGTAAATACTGTAAAGTGTAAGGTAGAGTAAATACTGTAAAGTGTGAGGTAGAGTAAATACTGTAAAGTGTGAGGTAGAGTAAATACTGTAAAGTGTGAGGAAGAGTAAATACTGTAAAGTGTAAGGTAGAGTAAATACAGTACTGTAAAGTGTAAGGAAGAGTAAATACTGTAAAGTGTAAGGTAGAGTAAATACTGTAAAGTGTAAGGTAGAGTAAATACTGTAAAGTGTAAGGAAGAGTAAATACTGTAAAGTGTAAGGTAGAGTAAATACAGTACTGTAAAGTGTAAGGAAGAGTAAATACTGTAAAGTGTAAGGTAGAGTAAATACTGTAAAAACTGTAAAGTGTGAGGTAGAGTAAATACTGTAAAGTGTGTGTAAGGTAGAGTAAATACTGTAAAGTGTAAGGTAGAGTAAATACTGTAAAGTGTGAGGTAGAGTAAATACTGTAAAGTGTGAGGTAGAGTAAATACTGTAAAGTGTGAGGTAGAGTAAATACTGTAAAGTGTGAGGTAGAGTAAATACTGTAAAGTGTGAGGTAGAGTAAATACTGTAAAGTGTGAGGTAGAGTAAATACTGTAAAGTGTGAAGTAGAGTAAATACTGTAAAGTGAGTAGAGTAAATACTGTAAAGTGTGAGGTAGAGTAAATACTGTAGTGTGAGGAGGTTATTACTGTAAAGTGTGAGTAGAGTATTACTGTAAAGTGCAAGGTAGAGTTATTACTGTTAAGTGTGAGGCAGAGTATTACTGTAAAGTGCAAGGTAGATATTACTGTAAAGTGTAGGTAGAGTTATTACTGTAAAGTGTGAGGTAGAGTTATGACTGTAAAGTGCAAGGTAGAGTTATTACTGTAAAGTGCAAGGTAGAGTTATTACTGTAAAGTGCAAGGTAGAGTTATTACTGTAAAGTGCAAGGTAGAGTTATGACTGTAAAGTAAGGCAGAGTTATGACTGTAAAGTAAGGCAGAGCTATTACTGTAAAGTGTAAGGTAGAGTTATGACTGTAAAGTGCAAGGCAGAGTTTACACAAAGTGCAAGGTAGAGTTATTACTGTTAAGTGTGAGGTAGAGCTTACATTATGAAGTGCAAGGTAGAGTTATTACTGTAAAGTGTGAGGTAGAGTTATTACTGTAAAGTGTGAGGTAGAGGTATTACTGTATGCAAGGTAGAGTTATTACTGTAAAGTGTAAGGTAGAGTTATTACTGTAAAGTGTGAGGTAGAGTATTACTGTAAAGTGTGAGGTAGAGTATTACTGTAAAGTGTGAGGTAGAGTTATTACTGTAAAGTGTGTGAGGTAGAGGTGACTGTAAAGTGTGTGAGGTAGAGGTATTACTGTAAAGTGAGGTAGAGGTATTACTGTAAAGTGTGAGGTAGAGGTATTACTGTAAAGTGTGAGGTAGAGTTATTACTGTAAAGTGTGAGGTAGAGTTACTGTAAAGTGTGAGGTAGAGGTATTATAAAGTGTGAGGTAGAGTTATTACTGTAAAGTGTGAGGTAGAGTTATTACTGTAAAGGTAAGGTAGAGTTATTACTGTAAAGTGTGAGGTAGAGGTATTACTGTAAAGTGTGAGGTAGAGGTATTACTGTAAAGTGTGAGGTAGAGGTATTACTGTAAAGTGTGAGGTAGAGTTATTACTGTAAAGTGTGAGGTAGAGTTATTACTGTAAAGTGCAAGGTAGAGTTATTACTGTAAAGTGTAAGGTAGAGCATTACTGTAAAGTGTAAGGTAGAGCTATTACTGTAAAGTGTAAGGTAGAGCTATTACTGTAAAGTGTGAGGTAGAGTTATACTGTAAAGTGTAAGGTAGAGTTATTACTGTAAAGTGTGAGGTAGAGTTATTACTGTAAAGTGTAAGGTAGAGTTATTACTGTAAAGTGTGAGGTAGAGTTATTACTGTAAAGTGAGGTAGAGTTATTACTAAAGTGCAAGGTAGAGTTATTACTGTAAAGTGTAAGGTAGAGTTATTACTGTAAAGTGTGAGGTAGAGTTATTACTGTAAAGTGTGAGGTAGAGTTATTACTGTAAAGTGTGAGGTAGAGTTATCGTAAAGTGTAAGGTAGAGCTATTACTGTAAAGTGAGGTAGAGGTATTTCTGTAAAGTGTGAGGTAGAGGTATTATCAAAGTGCAAGGTAGAGTTATTACTGTAAAGTGCAAGGTAGAGTTATTACTGTAAAGTAGGTAGAGTTATGACTGTAAAGTGCAAGGCAGAGTTATTACTGTAAAGTGTGAGGTAGAGGTACTACTGTAAAGTGCAAGGTAGAGTTATTACTGTAAAGTGCAAGGTAGAGTTATTACTGTAAAGTGCAAGGCAGAGCTATTACTGTAAAGTGTAAGGTAGAGTTATTACTGTAAAGTGTAAGGTAGAGCTATTACTGTAAAGTGTGAGGTAGAGGTACTACTGTAAAGTGCAAGGTAGAGTTATTACTGTAAAGTGTGAGGTAGAGTTATTACTGTAAAGTGTGAGGTAGAGTTATTACTGTAAAGGAGGTAGAGTTATTACTGTAAAGTGTGAGGTAGAGTTATTACTGTAAAGTGCAAGGTAGAGTTATTACTGTAAAGTGTGAGGTAGAGTTATTACTGTAAAGTGCAAGGTAGAGTTATTACTGTTATGTGAGGTAGAGTTATTACTGTAAAGTGCAAGGTAGACTTATTACTGTAAAGTGTGAGGTAGAGGTATTACTGTAAAGTGCAAGGTAGAGTTATTACTGTTACGTGGAGGTAGAGGTATTACTGTAAAGTGTGAGGTAGAGTTATTACTGTAAAGGTGAGGTAGAGTTATTACTGTAAAGTGTAAGGTAGAGTTATTACTGTAAAGTGTAAGGTAGAGTTATTACTGTAAAGTGTGAGGTAGAGTTATTACTGTAAAGTGAGGTAGAGTTATTACTGTAAAGTGTAAGGTAGAGTTATTACTGTAAAGTGAAGTAGAGGTATTACTGTAAAGTGTGAGGTAGAGGTATTACTGTAAAGTGCAAGGTAGAGTTATTACTGTAAAGTGTAAGGTAGAGTTATTACTGTAAAGTGCAAGGTAGAGTTATTACTAAAGTGTGAGGTAGAGTTATTACTGTAAAGTGCAAGGTAGAGTTATTACTGTAAAGTGTGAGGTAGAGGTATTACTGTAAAGTGCAAGGTAGAGTTATTACTGTAAAGTGTGAGGTAGAGGTATTATCAAAGTGTAAGGTAGAGTTATTACTGTAAAGTAAGGAGAGTTATTACTGTAAAGTGTGAGGTAGAGTTATTACTGTAAAGTGCAAGGTAGAGTTATTACTGTAAGTGTGAGGTAGAGTTATTACTGTAAAGTGCAAGGTAGAGTTATTACTGTAAAGTGAGGTGTAGAGTTTTACTGTAAAGTGTGAGGGAAAGTTATTACTGTAAAAGGTGAGGTAGAGTTATTACTGTAAAGTGTGAGGTAGAGTTATTACTGTAAGTGTGAGGTGAGTTATTACTGTAAAGTGTGAGGTAGAGTTATTACTGTAAAGTGTGAGGGTAGAGTTATTACTGTAAAGTGTGAGGTAGAGTTATTACTGTAAAGTGTGAGGTAGAGTTATTACTGTAAAGTGTGAGGTAGAGTTATTACTGTAAAGTGTGAGGTAGAGTTATTACTGTAAAGTGTGAGGTAGAGTTATTACTGTAAAGGTGAGGTGAGTTATTACTGTAAAGTGTGTGAGGTAGAGTTATTACTGTAAAGTGTGAGGTAGAGTTATTACTGTAAAGTGTGAGGTAGAGGTATTACTGTAAAGTGTGAGGTAGAGGTATTACTGTAAAGTGTGAGGTAGAGGTATTACTGTAAAGTGTGAGGTAGAGGTATTACTGTAAAGTGTGAGGTAGAGGTATTACTGTAAAGTGTGAGGTAGAGGTATTACTGACATACTGGTAATAGAACCAGAATAGGTATTAGGAGCTGAGCAGTGTGTGCTCAGGAAAGAGGTGGTGTGGATTAAGTCCTTTCCACCCAAGACCACAAGCGTATAGTTTCTAAAAAAGTGTGTGTGTGTGTGTGTGTGTGTGTGTGTGTGTTTTAATGACAAAAATTCATGCAAGAGAACATACAAAAGGAAACTGGGAAGAAGTCTAAATGTATGAGATAAATGGATACAGTACTTGTTGAGAGTTCCCCAGAGGCATTCGAGGGAGTGAAACACATGCAGAGAAAAATATATATTGATAGTAGTACTACATCAAGGGTAAGCAAAATTTTTTAATATCTTAGAGATGGGGTAGCAAGAGATGAAGTGCCATGGAATGAGGCACAGGTTTGGTGAATAATACAGTATTATGCAAATGACATTTATATACAGTATACTGTATTGTCTGTTGAATGAATGTGCTTGTAAGCGTGTGTGCAAAGGAAATTTGAATGTGTGAACAAAATTAGTAATAAATATAGAAGAAAGTTGACAATGTATGTAAACAAAACATAATGGAATGAATTGCTTTTTGTTGCAGCTCTTCCTACACAAATATATGATGGTGATGGAACCCCTGTCACTGCCTGGGAATTGTTATGGATGCTATGCTGAATGTGTTGAAAGACTGTGTTGGGTTAATGTTCAACAAGTAGGGAATACATGAAATGTAGTGTTTCAGGTGACACTAATATGGATAAAGTGGATTCTGGGTGTTGGATATTGTGAGGACATCAGTTTATTGAACGGTGATGATCAAAGCTATTCTGTCTAGATGTATTGGTATATTACTGTACGCTCATTTCTCTGTGAAGAGTGGCTTCTAAGGTGTAGATATCTGGCAAGGTGTATACAGTATATTTTTGTTTAAGAGTCCTTGCAAGGTGGAGGTTGTTAAGTTGTTGGAGCAAATGTCTGTAAATCTTGTGTTTGAAGGTGTAGATGGGTTACTGTTGGGTTTACTGGGTATAACTGTGTTTTGCCAAGGTGCATCGTTTGCCTTGAGAAAAGAGTTACAGAGATTCAGTACAAGAATAACACTCCTTCCATAAAATAACAACTTTAACATTGGTACTTACGTTCTCCAAGTGCTCGCAATTGAGTCTTCGGCATCCCGTGGGTCTTCAAATTCCACAAATGCAAATCCTGGAGGGTTACGGGCAACCCAAACATTTACTAGTGGTCCATACTTTGAAAAAGCAGACTCTAGTTCATGTTTGGCCCTAGTGTTACCAAGATTGCCGACGTAGACCTTGCAATCCGTCCTCATCCTTCTGTAAAATAGAAGGAAACCAAAATGACATCATCATAATCCTTATATAACAACAGTATGTCACCCAAAGATGACATATCCCCCCAGCTGTGGTTTATCGGACAAAAGAACAAGGATTAAAGTATGAACACTCATTTTATGGCAAAAAAGAGCCACACATAGTGACCTGTGACAACCCCACTAGACCATCCTTTAACCAGGCCATCATCTGGTCAGGTCAGTAACCCAAGTCTCAAGTTACCGGCTCAAACTGGTGGTTATGGTACTCTGCAGACCACCATAAACCCTATGTAAATAAAACAGCCCAATGCAATCCAACCAACTAAAAGAACTCCTCCCATGCCCTACATCAGACCACCAAGAAATCACAAACCCATGGGTGGTATTTCAGTTAAAGACTCGTTCCAGTATACAAGGAGTCTTCAAATCATATTTCAGCATCACACAAGTCATTCCTACACACCTAATATTCACATCAGATTAACAAAATGAACTTAAAAAGAAAAGCTGTGATACTTGAATGTAAAATCAGGTTCTCCCCTTGACATAGTTTGGGTAGCAGTCCACAAATCAACTTACTATAGTAACTATAGAAGTGATTAATAACTGAATGAACAACCCTTGCAACCCAGTATAAATTAAGGCATGAATTTGCCCAACTGTGATACTATACAGGACTGTAGTTCAACCTTAAACATTTGTGGATATATCCTGCAACAGTTGGTGTACGGAGGGTCTCGCCATTCTGGACATATCCCTAGTACCAGATATGGGGGTCAATTATGAATTGAATTGGAATTGATTAAAAAAATCCATGAATTGGAATTAAAAAAATACAAAATTAAAATTAATTGAATTGATGTGAATTGATAAAATAATATATTATACTGTCATGACTATGACAATGAAGTGCAAGACATTTGTGACCTGGCTGTGAAATACAATATGGCACGCAGTGTTGATCCTACAACAACAGACACTTTCCCTGCTGAACGACCACCGATGAAGAGGAACAAGTTCTTTGCCCCAACAGGTCATCTACACCAAGACCAACTCCATCACTGAGGTCTCACTCTACCTCAACCAACCATGTCTACAGGAAGATGGTGATCCCCTTGGCTACTGGAAGGCCAAGCAACCTGGGTTTCCTGTCCTCACCAGACTTGCAGCAAAGTACCTGGCTATTCCTGGTACATAGGCTCCTGTGGAGCACTGTTCTCCATTGCTGGCAAGCTCTTCAGGCCAGAGAGATGCAATTTAAGTGATAAAAATATTTGAGAAACTTATGATGATCAGATGCAATCCTCAGTAACTTGGAATCATTCATATTTTGTGTACTAATACAGAGAATTAAACCATTTGAACTTTTAGTTGGTAAAGAATGTGATTAGTTTGTGTGGTAGAGCATTTTTGATAAAAAATAAAGATAACATGAAACCTCAAACTTTTATTTCTTTCCATTACATTAACGGTAGATTATAATTGATTTTTAATTGAAAAGAATTTGAATTGAATGAAATATCGGCCATAATGAATTGAATTGAAATTGAAAAGCTTGTGAATTGAATTGAAATTTCTTTTTTTGAATGAATTGAATTGGAATGGATTAATTCAAATTTTATTCTAAATTGGAATTGAATTGAACTGACAAAAATGAATTGACCCCATCTCTGCCCGCAACTGTTGCAATATATTTCTCACGAGCCAAATTAAAGTTTCCCATACATGTACAGTACTGTACTTTGAATTTGACGATCATTTTTTGTGGAGGCTTCTAGCAACTGCCTTGAGGCATGTGAAGACCTCTCACCCATCAGTAATGGTAACCATGGCCAAGTCGAGACTTACCACATCCGCTCGTGTGTAGCGTCCCAAGTAGGAGGAAATGGACTCCTTTATACATGACTCCAGAGACAAGGCCTTTCATGCATGGAGATAGTGATGTAAGTGAAGATCACAACCTTCAAGATTTGAGACAAAAATCTAGTGAACCTGGTGGTGATGTGGCAGCTTCTACATGCTACCTGTCCACCCATGAGGTCCCCACATGGGATTGGAGCAATTTTTGTTAATCATCCTCAACCCCTGAACTTTTATGGTGTAATCAAGAGTTTCTGGTGAGAACCAAACCATTCTTATAATTTTTTCAACCCTATGACATTCCCCCATACAGTGGGTAATGACCACGAGTTGCCATCACCATCCTCAACGGATTAATAAACTATCCAATAGTGACAAGAGTAAACCTGCACTGGACTGGCATAATGCCTGTACTGTACTGAATTGGTATGGTCCTAGAGCTCCACACATGGCTATAGAAAGGCAAAGAGTGTACAGCTTTTGAGACGTCTCATCACCCTTCTGTGGTAACCCTTGTTACCGAATGTAAATCATAAACCCATTAGGACATATGTAACAATGTATGTGCCCTCCTATTGAGAGAGAAAAAAAAATTATATATATATATACATATATACAGGTGCTCCTCTACTTAAGAACACACAACTTACAAACTTTGAGATACAAACATCATTACTGAGGGGGGTTACCTGCCAGAACAGATGTTTAATGTGGATGAAACTGGATTATTTTGAAGAAAATTCCAGATAGAACAAACATTACCTAAGAGGAGAAGAGTGAGCCAGGTTTTAAGGCTGTATTAAAGGGTATAGCTGTACTAAATATCCATATCTTTTAATTTTTTACAATATGTTTGGTATCTACAAGAGTAGAGTTGGACTTACAAACAAGCCCCAGGAACGTAACTCGTTCGTAAGTAGAGGAGCACCCATGTGTGTGTATATAATTATATTATATTATATATATATATATATATATATATATATATATATATATATATATATATATATATATATATATATATATATATATATATATATATATATATATATATATATATATATATATATATATAAACAGTACACATTATAAATAAGACAGTACACGTTATAAATAATGCAGTACACAAAAAGAATTACGGGAAAATGATTGGGACCTTGGTAGATGACCAAGACATGGAAATCAACAAAGGTGTGAGTGTAGGGTGCATGATGTGAGGTGATACATGGCACTGAGGCCCCAGGTGGAAATACCAAGAAGGATTATTAGTATAGTAGTAACAAGCAACACTTAATGGGGGCATGCAAAAATTTCAAAGTAAATGTGTGAAACAAAGGAAAGTACAATATAGCAAGTCACATCCTGGTCCCAACATTTTGATTCAAGTATTTTTAGCACTCCTTCCCCAAGGGTTAAGGGATGTGGCTACAACATACAGTAATCAATGAACCAGTCTCAACCATCAATGTACTGCAGATGGTTTACCCGGGACTTCAACACTAAGCTTAACTTGTTGGTGACTACACAAGAACCACCTTGGACAAATGTGGGCTTATAAATGCTTTCGTAGTACAGTATAAAGCTGGGCAAATAGATACGTACAATATTTTAGAAAACAAATATGAATCAAAATAGAAAAGAACAGAACAGTACTGTATTCTTTACACACAACTTAATCTTTTGTTAACCAGTTTCATAACTGGAAGTTCAAGAATTCATCAAAAATATACTGTACCTGTATTTCTTAAATTGCTTAACTATCACATACTGTACAATCTCAATTTGCATTATTCTGAATTAATTATAAAATTCTTTTAAATTCCAAGGCTATGCTAACATTTTGAAATCTTAATACATTTTGTATCATCAATTGTATAAAATAAATCCCTTTCACTCAGCTTACTCGGCAATGTAATTTTTAAAATTATATATATTTTGTTTTGTTTTATCGTTTAAAAGGGCTAAAAATTATTTTCGGAGAAGTTTTAATTTTTCTCGATTTGAAGGGGGAGAGGGGGGAACAAGCACAGGACCAGGGTATTAAACATATGACAAAATCACTTTCTCTTACCCCTGAATACACCAAAATCTTTGTGATCTAACTTTTATGATTCAAGATGTATAATAATACAGTAATGTACTTTTGTCGAGACAGGGTTCAGACAGTCAAGTTTCAATTACATACAATGCCCCTTTATTTTACGCATAGCTATATAAAAATGGATGTGTTGTTATCAGTACCCGGGAATAACCAAGTGAACCTCAGCCTGTCCTTTACACCTAAATGATATTCTTATCTGTACTCTCACTACTCTCACTGATTACAATAACGGCTTCTTACCACCGACTAACCTTACATTAACGGCTTCTTACCACTGACTAACCTTACATTAACGGCTTCTTACCACTGACTAACCTTACATTAACGGCTTCTTACCACTGACTAACCTTACATTAACGGCTTCTTACCACTGACTAACCTTACATTAACAGCTTCTTACCACTGACTAACCTTACATGAACGGCTTCTTACCACCGACTAACCTTACATTAACGGCTTCTTACCACCGACTAACCTTACATTAACGGCTTCTTGCCACCGACTAACCTTACCAATGAATTTCTCAATGCATCTACTGCATCCCCTGCCTCCACAAATCTTTAGTACAATTCATCAACCCTTTCTTCTGCTGCCATAACCACTCCTACATACCTAAAACATAATATTTTCTCCCAATCGAATAACAATATTTTCCCACCCAACTTCTCTGTGTTGATCAATATGCTCTTTTTTTCCCCACTTGCATTCTTAGTCCCCATTCTTCTCACTCATTCACCAACATCTGTTCTTTCACTTTCTTCACTATTCTCCTTACTAATTTCATCTTTCCTTTCTTGCAACTATCAATCAATACTGTTTTGTCATTTTCTATCACCCAGTAAGACCTTACACAGATGAACCTTACCCCAAATAACCCTGCCAGCTTACACTATTCATTGTGATGTCAGATGGGAAACCCAAGACACCACAGGGTGGTATTTCACAAAACTAGGCGAGTACTGAACACAAAAAAAGAACTATAATTTCAAACATAGCTTCACCCTGGCTGACAAAAATTCAATTCCAAATTATGATCAATA